TAACATCAATGGTACATATTACAGAAAGCCCCTGATTATGCAGAGAATTTCAAGCAGCCTAAGACAATCTTCTTTCCCAGGATACAACTCACAATAGGTACCTACTTACTACTAGGTGAAGAGGAGCAGCAGGTGCAAGAAAACATACCCCACATTTCACCCGTGCAGGAGATCGATCCCAGACTCCTCAGTGTGTAAGCTGAGGGCAATACCAACTAAGCCATGGGTTTTAAATGTCACGGCAAGGAGGCTGGAGGCAGTGGAGATGTCATGCTTGGGAACAGACTGTGGCGTGAATTTAATGTGGAAAATTCGGAGTATGGAAAATAGGTGTAGGGTTATCAAAAGTATCATTCAAAGGGTAGAGATGGGGTTGTTAAGGTAGTTTGGACACTCAAAGATGCAGCAAAATCAGATAACTAGATAACTGAGATGGAGCAAAGGAAGGCTAGGGGTGGTCCCAGGAACGGTTGAAGGGAAGGGGTAAGAGAAATTTTGAGTGCTCTAGGTCTGGGCATCAAGAGGCTTGTGAGAGCATGTTAGACAGAAGTGAATGGAGGAAAATGTTTTTCATGAGTCGGCATGTTGTTGGAGTGTGAGCAAGGTAACATTTACGAAGGGATTCAGGGGAAATTGGATAGCCAGACTTGAGTCTTGGAGGTGCGAAGTACAGTGCCTACACCTTGGAGGAGGGGTAGGGATATGTAGTTTGGAGGATCATCCTAAACTGACATTAGTACCCTTCTAGTAAGACAATGATTGAGTGACAAAGTGTCTTCTTTGTCACATCACCCATCCTGCATCTGCTAGAAAAATGATAAGATGGATAATGAGAACCTTCAAAACTAGGGACCCCAAGCCCATGATGATTCTCTTCAAATCATTTGTTTTCCCAAGGCTGGAATACTGCTGTACGTTAACTGCCCCCTTCAAGGCAGGCAAAATTGCTGACTTGGAGAGTGTACAAAGAATTTTCACAGCACACGTAAGTACGATAAAGCACCTAAATTACTGGGAACGGTTGAAGCCCCTTGATTTGTATTCCCTGGAATGCAGGCAAGAGAGGTGCATGATAATATACACTTGGAAATTCCTAGAGGGATTAGTACCAACCTTGCACACGAAAATCACTCCCTATGAAAGCAAGACTTGGCAGGAGATGCAACATTTCCCCAATGAAAAGCAGGGGTGGCACAAGTACACAGAGACAACACAATAAGTATCAGGGGCCCAAGACTATTCAACTGCCTCCCAGCATACATAAGGGGGATTACCAATAGACCCCTGGCTGTCTTCAAGAAGGCACTGGACAGGCACCTAAAGTCAGTACCTGACGAGCCGGGTTGTGGTTCATACGTCAGTTTGCGTGTGGCCAGTAGTAACAACCTGGTTGATCAGACCCTGATCCACCACGAGACCTAGTCTCAGACTTGGGCATTGACCCCTGAAACTCTCTCCAGGTATACCCTACCTCAGTGGGTAATAATTCCTGCAGTTACTGCTTAAATAAAATTTTACTCGGTTTATTCAGCAGTGCAACTGACTTTATTAGCCTATATCAATGATTCTGTTTATTCAACATGATAGATGTGCACTAGAATAGTGTGAATGTATGGCAGAGGAGTGTGGATATATTTAAAGAAATATGGGAACCTGCTGGAGCAGTGTGGGGGACCATTTTTTCTTTGCTTTCTCTTGTTCACTTTTCTGCCTTCTCTCTCTTATGATTAATGTGAGAGTGAAGGGGAGAAAAGAGGTATGCATTGGGTACTGGTTATACACACAAGTCCTTCTCTATCATCTATCCATCTGCCACCAACCCCCAACCCCCCCATCACCTGCATGAACCAATATTTGCTATACAAATATACATAATAATAATACAGTATATTAATATCTTTATTTACTACAAGTATATGTACATGGTATACAGGCCTAGCTGACATCAATGACATACTACCATATAGAAAGCTGCTTGTTATGCTGCGGATTTCGGGCAAATTAGGTCAGTTTTGTCCCAGGATGCGACCCACACCAATCAACCTACACCCAGGTACCCACTTTATACTGATGGAGTACACTAGTTTGTTTGAGATTTGTGTGTTGCAAACTCAGTAAATTTTTAATGAAATTCTGGCTCATGAACTTACTCTTTCTTCTCTTAACACACTGACTGTATCCTACTGAGTCGGGGTGGCCCAAAAGAAAAAAGTTTCTCCTTTTACATTTAGTAATATACACAGGAGAAGGGGTTACTATCCCCCTGCTCCTGGCAGTTTAGTCGCTTCTTACAACACGCATGGCTTACAGAGGAAGAATTCTGTTCCACTTTCCCATGGATTTTTTTTTTTTTTCAACAAGTCGGCCGTCTCCCACCAAGGCAGGGTGACCCAAAAAAGAAAGAAAATCCCCAAAAAGAAAATACTTTCATCATCATTCAACACTTTCACCACACTCACACATTATCACTGTTTTTGCAGAGGTGCTCAGAATACAACAGTTTAGAAGCATACACATATAAAGATACACAACATATCCCTCCAAACTGCCAATATCCCAAACCCCTCCTGTGCAGGCATTGTATTTCCCATTTCCAGGACTCAAGTCCGACTATATGAAAACAACCGGTTTCCCTGAATCCCTTCACTAAATATTACCCTGCTTACACTCCAACAGATCGTCAGGTCCCAAGTACCATTCGTCTCCATTCACTCCTATCTAACACGCTCACGCACGCTTGCTGGAAGTCCAAGCCCCTTACCCACAAAACCTCCTTTACCCCCTCTCTCCAACCCTTTCGAGGATGACCCCTACCCCACCTTCCTTCCCCTATAGATTTATATGCTTTCCATGTCATTCTACTTTGATCCATTCTCTCTAAATGACCAAACCACCTCAACAACCCCTCTTCTGCCCTCTGACTAATACTTTTATTAACTCCACACCTTTTCCTAATTTCCACACTCCGAATTTCCTGCATAATATTTACACCACACATTGCCCTTAAACATGACATCTCCACTGCCTCCAACCATCTCCTCGCTGCTACATTTACCACCAAAGCTTCACACCCATATAAGAGTGTTGGTACTACTATACTTTCATACATTCCCTTCTTTGCCTCCATAGATAACGTTTTTTGACTCCACATATACCTCAACGCACCACTCACCTTTTTCCCCCTCATCAATTCTATGATTAACCTCATCCTTCATAAATCCATCAGCCGACACGTCAACTCCCAAGTATCTGAAAACATTCACTTCTTCCATACTTCTCCTCCCCAATTTGATATCCAATTTTTCTTTATCTAAATCATTTGATACCCTCATCACCTTACTCTTTTCTATGTTCACTTTCAACTTTCTACCTTTACACACATTCCCAAACTCATCCACTAACCTTCACAATTTTTCTTTAGAATCTCCCATAAGCACAGTATCATCAGCAAAAAGTAACTGTGTCAATTCCCATTTTGAATTTGATTCCCCAAAATTTAATCCCACCCCTCTCCCGAACACCCTAGCATTTACTTCCTTTACAACCCCATCTATAAATATATTAAACAACCATGGTGACATTACACATCCCTGTCTAAGACCTACTTTTACCGGGAAGTAGTCTCCCTCTCTTCTACACACCCTAATCTGAGCCTCACTATCCTCGTAAAAACTCTTTACAGCATTTAATAACTTACCACCTAATCCATATACTTGCAACATCTGCCACATGGAAATAAGTCACTCTGTCTGACTTTTTTGGGTTATCCTAGGTTCTCTACACATATGCTGCTATGTATGATAATTCTATGTAACTGTATTTGTGTATACCTGAATAAACTTACTTACTTACTTACTTACTCTATCCCCTCTATCATATGCCTTTTCTAAATCCATAAATGCAATAAATGGATAAATAAATGGATATAAGAGGAAATAACAAGAACAATAACAAGTAAGAAAACAGAAGAAAACCCAGAGGTAGGTAGGTAGGTAGGTAGGTAGAGGTAGGTAGGTAGGTAGAGGTAGGTAGGTAGGTAGGGGTAGGTAGGTAGGTAGGGTAGGTAGAGGTAGGTAGGTAGAGGTAGGTAGGTAGGTAGGTGAGGTGGGTAGGTAGGTAGGTAGGTAGGTAGGTAGGTGTGTGTGTGTGTTGTGTGTGTGTGTGTGTGTGTGTGTGTGTGTGTGTGTGTGTGTGTGTGTGTGTGTGTGTGTGTGTGTGTGTGTGTGTGTGTTGTGTGTGTGGTGTGTGTGTGTGTGTTGTGTTTGTGTGTGTGTGTGTGGTGTGTGTGTGTGTGTGTGTGTGTGGTGTGTGTGTGTGTGTGTGTGTGTGTGTGTGTGTTGTGTGTGTGTGTCTTTCTTCTTCTTTCAACACACCGGCCATATCCCACCAAGGCAGGGTGGCCCAAAAAGAAAAACGAAAGTTTCTCTTTTAAATTTAGTAATTTATATGGGAGAAGGGGTTACTAGCCCCTTGCTCCCGGCATTTTAATCGCCTCTTACAACACGCATGGCTTACAGAGGAAAAATTCTGTTCCACTTCCCCATGGAGATAAGAGGAAATAAACAAGAACAAGAACTAGAAAGAAAATAGAAGAATACCCAGAGGGGTGTGTATATATATGCTTGTACACGTATGTGTAGTGTGACCTAAGTCCAAGTAGAAGTAGCAAGACATACCTGTAATCTTGCATATTTATGAGACAGACAAAAGACATAAGCAATCCTACCATCATGTAAAACAATTACAGGCTTTCGTTTTACACTCACTTGGCAGGATGGTAGTACCTCCCTGGGTGGTTGCTCTCTAACAACCTACTACCTAGGATGAAACTTACTCCTTTCCCTCCAAAAAAAATCACAAATACTTAAATGAAGCTATTCATGAAATGCAACTAAGTAAAAAATATTTTACAATGAAATCTAGTGAATTACAAACAGGGAGATTTACTGATACAATCCATGAATAGTGAGAATTTCTATACTGTACCAATACATGCTCACTTTTTTCCTTCTAGCATTGAGCTTTTCTTTGCTTTTCATTTCCTTCTCCTTGGACTTTTTTGCCTGCTGCAAAGACTTTTCTTTATCTTCTTCCAGCTGCTTGATGCTACTGTTCACAGCTTCCAGCTTTTCAAGTAGGTCAGCCTTCTGTTGGTGAACAAGCTGAATATGACTAGCATCCTGCCTTATCTTCAAAGCATCCAGGTCCAGTTTCTCCAGGAACTTATCATATTCAATAAGGGACCTATGAGGAAACTCAAGAAGTGAGTATGTTGCAAATATATGTATGTACATGTATATGCAAGCACATGAATGTCTATGTATGCATTTTTTGTATTATTATTATTAGTATCACACTGGCCGATTTCCACCAAGGCAGGGTGGCCTGAAAAAGAAAACCTTTCACCATTATTCACTCCATCACTGTCTTGCCAGAAGGGTGCTTTACACTACAGTTTTTAAACTGCAACATTAACACCCCTCCTTCAGAGTGCAGGCACTGTACTTCCCATCTCCAGGACTCAAGTTCGGCCTGCCGGTTTCCCTGAACCCCTTCATAAATGTTACTTTGCTCACACTCCAACAGCACGTCAAGTATTAAAAACCATTTGTCTCCATTCACTCCTATCAAACATGCTCACGCATGCCTGCTGGAAGTCCAAGCCCCTCGCACACAAAACCTCCTTCACCCCCTCCCTCCAACCTTTCCTAGGCCGACCCTACCCCGCCTTCCCTTTCCACCAATCTTGCAACTTCTCTTCAGAAGCTCCCAAGAGCACAGTGTTCATCAGCAAAGAGCAACTGCGTGGACAACTCCCCCTTTATGTGTCGATTCTTTATCTTTTACACTCCAGCCTTTGCCAAGGACCCTCCACATTTACTTCTCTTAACAACCCCATCTATAAATAATTAAACAACAACAGTTGACATCACACATCCTTGTCTAAGGCTACTTTTTACTGGGAAATAATTTCCCTCTTTCTACATACTTAACTTGAACCTCAACTATCCTCGTTTTATTAAAAACTCTTCACGGCCTTTCAGTAAACTATCTCTAACCATACCACCTGAACATCTGCCACATTGCCCCCTATTCCACCCTGTCATACGCCTTTTCCAAATCCATAAATGCCAAAAGAACTCTCTTAGCCTTATCTAAAATAACTGTTCACTTATATGTTTCACTGTAAATCACCTGGTCCACACACCAACTAACTTCCTAAAGGCTCCTTGTTCATTGTATCTATTCTCCGGTCTTACTCTTAATTCTTTCAATAATAACTTACCATACATTTACCAGGTATACTCAACAGACTTATCACCCATAATTTTGCACTCTCTTTTGTCCCCTTTGCTTATACAAAGGAAACTATGCATACTCTTGCCAATCCCTAAGTACCTTACCCTCTTCCATCATTTTACTAAATAATATATATATATATATTATATATATATATATATATATATATATATATATTACTGGGTTTACCTGGAGAGAGTTTCGGGGGTCAATGCCCCCGCGGACCCCCGTTCTGTTGACCAGGCCTCCTGGTGGATCAGCGCCTGATCAACAGGCTGTTGCTGCTGGCCTGCACGGCAAACCAACGTACGAGCCACAGCCCGGCTGATCAGGAATGACTTTAGGTGCTTGTCCAGTGCCAGCTTGAAGACTGCCAGGGGTCGTTGGTATCCCCTTATGTGTGCTGGGAGGCAGTTGAACAGTCTCGGGCCCCTGACACTTACTGTAATATATTGTATATATATTGTATATATATATATAATATATATATATATGTATATATATATATAATATTATATATATATAATTTTTTTTTTTTTTTTATTTTTTTTTTTTTTTTCAACAAGTCGGCCCGTCTCCCACCGAGCAGGGTGACCCAAAAAAGAAAGAAAATCCCCAAAAGAAGGAAAAAAAATTATTTCATCATATTCAACTCTTTCACCACACTCGCATCATTATCCTGTTTTTATAGCAGAGGTGCTCAGAATACAACAGTCTAGAAGCATTAAACATATAAAGATACACAAACATATCCCTCCAAACTGCCAATATCCAAACCCTCCCTTTAAAGTGCAGGCATTGTACTTCCATTTCCAGGAACTCAAGTACGGACTATATGTTAATAAAATAAAAAAAAAAAAAATAAAACCGGTTTCCCGAATCCCTTGCCACTAAATATTACCCTGCCACACTCACAGATCGTCAGGTTCCAAGTACCATTCGTCTCCATTCACTCCTATCTGAACGCTCACGCACAGCTTCTTGCTGGGGAAAGTCCAAGCACCCTTACCACAAACCTCCTTTACCCCTCTCTCCAACCCTTTTGAGGACGACCCCTAGCCCGGCCTTCCTCCCCTATAGATTTATATGCTTTCCATTGTCATTCTACTGTGATCCTTCTCTCTAAATGCACCAAACCACTCAACAACCCCTTCTGCCCTCTGACTATTAACTTTTATTAAACTCCACACCTTCTCCTAATTTCCCACACTCCGAATTTTCTGCTAATAGTTACACCAACACTTTGCACTATCTTAAACAGGAACATCTCCGTGCCTCAACCGTCTCCTCGCTGCTGCTGCATTTACACCAATGAGCTTCACCCCAAATAAGAGTGTGTGGTACTACTAGTTTTTTTTTTTTTTACTTTCATACCAATTCCCTTCTTTTGCATCCATAGATAACGTTTTTTTGACTCCACATATACCTCCACGCACCACTCACCCTTTTTTCCCTCATCAATTCTATTGATTAACTGTTCATCCTTCATAAATCCATCCGCCGACACGTCAACTCCAAGTATCTGAAAACTTTCACTTCTTCCATACTCCTCCTCCCCAATTTGATATCCTCAATTTTTCTTTATCGCCCCCAAATCATTGACACCCTCATCACCTTACTCTTTTCTATGTTCAAATTTAATTCTTTACCTTTTAACACTCATCCCCAAACTCATCCACTAACCTTTGCAATTTTTCTTTCGAATTCCCATAAGCACAGTATCCATCAGCAAAGAAGTAACTGTGTCAATTCCATTTTGAATTTGATTTCCCCATATTTTATCCCACCCCTCTCCCAAACCACCCCCTATTGGGCCATTTACTTCTTTAAAACCCCATTCTATAAATATATTAAACCAACTTGGTTATTTGACCATTGACACATCCCTGTCTAAGGACCATACTTTTTACCGGGAAGTAGTCTCCTCTCTTCTACACACCCTAACCGAGCCTCACTATCCTCATAAAAACTCTTTACAGCATTTAATAACTTTACCACCTATTCCATATACTTGAACATCTGCCCATTGCTCCTCTATCCACTCTATCATATGCTTTTCTAAATCAATAAATGCAATAAAAATTCCCTATCCTTTATCTAAATACTGTTACAATATATGCTTTTCAATGTAAACACCTTGAATCTACACATCCATACCCCACTCTAAAACCTCCTTGCTCATCCGCAATCCTACATTCTGTCTTACTCTAATTCTTTCAATATAACCCTACCGTTACACTTTTCTGTATACTCAGTAAGCTTATTCTCTATTAATTTTTTACAGTCTCTTTTGTTCCCCTTTCCCTTTATATAAAGGGACTATACATGCTCTCTTGCCAATCCCTAGGTACCTTCCCCTCTTTCATTACATTTATTTAAACAAAAGTACCAAAACCACTCCAAACTATATCCCCCCATGCTTTTAACATTTCTGTCATGATTCCCATCAGTTTCCAGCTGCTTTACCCCCTTTCACTTTACGTAAATGCCTCACGTACCTCACCCCAACCACTTACATTCTGCTCTTCTTCAACTCCTAAAGATGAGTATACCTCCCTGACCAGTTGCATGAGAATTACTGCCTCTGTTTCTTCCTTAACATTAAAAGTTCCTCAAAATATTCTCGCCATCTACCCATTACTCCTCACATCTCCCCCATTCTACTTAACTCCCCTAAATATCTTTATATATATATATATATATATATTTATATATATATATATATATATATATATATATACTATACATATATTATATATATATATATATATATATATATATATATTTATATTATATATATATATATATATCATATATTATATATATATATATATTAATATATATATATATATATATAAATATTATATATATATTATATAGTATATATATATATATTAATATATATTATATATATTCTATATATATATATATATATTATATATAGATATATATATATATAATAATATATATATATATTATTATATATATATATATATATATATATAATATATATATATATATATATTATATATATATATATATATTATATATATAATATATATATATATATATAATATATAAATATTATTATTATATATATATATATAGATATACTATATATAATATATATATATATATATATATTTATATTATATATTTTTTTTTTTTTTTTTTTTTTTTTTTTTTTTTTTTTTGTTATTATCACACTGGCCGATTCCCACAAGGCAGGGTGGCCCGAAAAAAGAAAAAACTTTCACCATCATTCACTCCATCAGCTGTCTTGCCAGAAGGGTTGCTTTACACTACAGTTTTTAAAACTGCAACATTAACCCCCCTCCCTACCAGGAGTGCAGGCACTGTACTGTCCCATCTCCAGGACTCAAGTCCGGCTGCCGGTTTCCTGAATCCCTTCAAAATGTTACTTTGCTCAACTCCAACAGACGTCAAGAAATTTAAAAACTAACATTGTTCATCATTCACTCCTATCAAACACGCTCCAAGCATGCCTGCTGGAAGTCCAAGCCCCTCGCACACAAAACCTCCTGTACCCCCTCCCTCCACCCTTCCTAGGCCGACCCCTACCCCGCCCCTTCCTTCCACTACAGACAGATACACTATTGAGTCATTCTGTTTCGCTCCCATTCTCTCTCATTCGTCGAACCACTCAACAAACCCCTTCCTCAGCCCTGGACAAGAGTTTTGGTATCCCGCACCTCCTCCTAACTTCCAAACTACGATTTTCTCTGCATTATATTCACACCACACATAAGCCTCAAGACTTGACTCTCCACGACTCCAGCCTTTTCCCTTTTCCCTCGGGCTGGCAATATTCATCACCCACGCCTTCACACCCATTTAAGAGCGTTGTAGAAAACTATTAATCTCATACATTCCCCTCTTTGCCTCCAAGGACCAAAAGTTCTTTGTCTCCACAGACTCCTAAG